ATATATATATTTGAAATTATACGTTATCCTGTATACAATTAAAATTACATACTTGACATTTACAATATAAGCAAGCATATATACAAGTACCAAAGAACAAAATATGTTTACTGTCGGTCTATAATGACTTCTTATTTCTTTACGGCTTCATTTCGGATTTTTTAATGTCTATACATAACATTAATTCAGACGCTTCAAAAAATAGCTATATAGTATAAAAAAATAAAAAAATAAATATTTACTAACAATCACGCCACGTTAACAGGTCCCGTGGTAAGTTCGTAAAGAACTTGTGTTACAGGTACCAGATAACGGATATAAATGTAAGATTTTTATTATACACATTCATATATTTAATAGACATCCATAACCCTGGAAAAGACATTTATATTTATCATACAAATATCTTTTGTTGGCGGGATTCGAACCCGCGACCCCCTTGTGTAGTGACCATGTCACTTACCACTACACCAGACGGCCGTTTTCATGTCACGAAAGACTATAATGTTATTCCTCGATTCTTGAAATTATTCTAACTACCGTCTATTTTGTCCCGAACTTATAACGTCTTTGTTTTAAAGCAATTGCTTTACTATTTGGTATTTAAGCGTTGCGGATACCAAAATTACTTATTTCTTCGTGCCTGTTTGCATATTCAAGCATCGCATGCGATAGCTTCTATCATCTATAACCTGTGTATTCATACTTGGAAGATAGTGCATAGTACCCAATATAATTTCCCGTTCTGCACTATGGAAGACTATGTTAGCCCTTTTCACTTGTAAAGCTTGGATAATGTCGATTAATCTGGACCTTTCTATTCAGTATTTTATTTCGTTTAGTAATTTTGCGTAGTCAGTGATGTGAGAACTCCCGAAAAGATCAAACGAGACACGATTGTTAAAATTTAAAATTCAATTAGTTCTAGTCTCGAACTTACGACACTATCACCGTGAAGCGTGCTTAACACACCTAATGATTTTGCGCAATATTAATTTAATTACTATCAAGATCTAATCGGTTTTTAACTATTGACTTCTAAACTATCGAATATCAGTCAGCGGCCCGATTTTATCGATAAATTAATTCGAAACGAAATATTTCGTATGGTAACTTTTAAAAATATTTCCATATCTCCTATTAACCTCAACTATGTATGTGGAGTGATTAAAAATTTCACCATCGCGATAAGAGCGCAATTTGCAAGTGAGGTTTGAATACAATGTGACCTTTAAAATGGAATTTCAATTTGTGTGGTGACCTCTTACATTTGTGCCCGTCTCAAAAATAATGTAAACATACAATATTTTCTTTTACGACCCAATTTCGCTTTGATTATTCACGTCCCGTTATGGCTCGTCCGTGAACCACGAAAAATGTAAATCATTCGAAACATCCCATATAATACAATGAAAATAATGAACTCGAGATTAAAGTGTACAAGTACTGTTTTAATTATATATTGTGTAAAGTCGTCGTGGCCTAAGGGATAAGACGTCCGGTGCATTCGTATCGAGCGATGCTCCGGTGTTCGAATCCCGCAGGCGGGTACCAATTTTTTAAATGAAATACGTACTTAACAAATGTTCACGATTGACTTCCACGATGAAGGAATAACATCGTGTAATAAAAATCAAACCCGCAAAATTATAATTTGCGTAATTACTGGTGGTAGGACCTCTTGTGAGTCCGCGCGGGTAGGTACCACCGCCCCGCCTATTTCTGCCGTGAAACAGTAATGCGTTTCGGCTTGAAGGGTGGGGTAGCCGTTGTGACAATACTGAGACCTTAGAACTATATCTCAAGGTGTGTGGCGCATTTACGTTATAGATGTCTATGGGCTCCAGTAACCACTTAACACCAGGTGAGCTGTGAGCTCGTCCACACATCTAAGCAATAAAAAAAAAAGTGAGTTGTTCTTGAAATCAAAGATAAAAGTCCCTTTGATTAGGCATTTTGTACCTAATATGATAGATACACTTAATATGTAGTTAGACTTTAGGTACAGGATACCATAATCACTTCTATACATACGGATAACGGGTCGTAGAGCGTATTAAAAATCCACACATGTTTATCCTACATATTTCTGTGATGAAGCAGTCATGCGTTCCAGTTTGCAAGGTGGTATTCGCACTATAATTTCCGGCAACTATTTAATACTAGGGGGAGCTTGAGATAAGTGCAATAAAACAATGGTATCTTCTTCGAAGATTATATTGAAGTCTCAACCCCTAAACTACAAGGCACTGACAGCCTAATTTTTTCTCGTTTACTTAAATCAATCTTATCCCGTTTTATTCATTATCGCGTAGATTAGGGCCAATCGTAATTAGGAAAATAAACGCACCCTTTTCAAGCTTTGTTTATAGAAAATGTTACAGAATTAGATTACTATTTCGGTTTTGATGACATTTTCGAACGTCTTATATTGTTTGCGAATACAAACCCCAAGTAAATAACACTCGAATTCATTATTATATACATACACGAGTCTGCCTTGTACGGCAATAAGAATATATTCTCGACATCAAATTTAATCATACGCACACTATCGAGTGACGCAATCGAGAGACGCCAAGCAATTTAACTCTTCTATAGATATATCCATATTGGAGAATTCGACATCATCAAAGGTCTACTTCGTTCGGCGATCGACCTATTTATATGTTCTGCAAGTATGCCCGAATACTACACTTAAATGTATTTGGGGAACGTTTCGAATAATCATTTCGAAGCAGTACAAACGTCTTGTGAATTCAATGAAAGCAATGAAGGTGCGGCCTGAGATATTTTGAAATACGGATTCGTTTTGCACCACATGAACAGTCGACCGCGGATATTTGGAAACATATTTCACTGACAAAAAAATTAAATATGTACGTAAAATTGTTGGATTTTGTTTGGCTTGGGTACTTGTTCATTGAGAGGCAAGCATAGTGCAACAACCGAGAAAGGCTACGCAATGCAGTAGTTTACTTGAAATGATTTTAATAATGATTCGGTTATTAAACTTAAGGATTGCGGAGCTCGTGGTGTTGCTACTTCATATATTTTCGTTCGCGGTGCTTCAGTAATATCAGTGTCTGTTTTATTTCTATCGAATGTGGGTAATTACTTATGGATTAGCAATCACGGATGCACAGCCTACATTGACTCTTTTAATGAATTATTAAATAAGATTTCAACAAACTAAAATGATAATATCGTCAAAGTAGTGGAAGCCAATCGAATATGACTACCAAACTATTGGTCTAATCTTGCCAATATTTAAATGAGACCACATAAAAACACCAACTGTCAAATAAAATAAGAATTAACCAAATTGGTTCACCTAGAAAAATACAGTCGAATTGAGTCATTACTGGTGGTAGGACCCCTTGTGAGTCCGCACGGGTAGGTACCACCACCCAACCTATTTCTGCCGTGAAGCAGTAATGCGTTTCGGTTTGAAGGGTGGGGCAGCCGTTGTAACTATACTTGAGACCTTAGAACTCATATCTCAAGGTGGGTGGCGCATTTACGTTGTGAATGTCTATGGGCTCCAGTAACCACTTAACACCATGTGGGCTGTGAGCTCGTCCACTCATCTAAGCAATAAAAAAAAAAACTTTTTTGAAATCGGTTATAATACATGTTTAATTTCTTGTTTTCATCTGTAGTTAAGCAGCTAACGGAACCCACAGTAAACCCAAAGTGAATGCCGCCTTGAGACATGATAAGAGAGCCTCAATATTGTGCTACGAAGAGCAAGATAACCTTGATCTTCAGGCCAGGTTCCAGGAATTCTTTATCCACGGTTTTCTCACATGCCCTACCACAAATACTCTCTTAGTACACAATAATACCACTTATTCAGATGGGATATTCCCAAGATGTCGCTTTTCTTAGTTCCCACTTCGGATTTCGGACGGCAATAACAGTGAATATCTTACGAAAGACCCGTATTTACGTTCAAACTGTAATACACGCGATCCGCGAATAAAGGAGACGTTATATCATAATTCATAATACGTTTCGACATCGGCCAGTCAGCAGTATAGAATAATGATGAGCGTTTGAAATAACTCAATTTCTGTTTACGACACACGGAATCGTAACCGTTGAAATATAAAGATAATAATATGCTGAATGTGTATTATTTACGTAAATATTACAACACGAACCATACGAATTGGTTTTACGGAGGATTCGCCTGAACGCCCCTATTAGCGTTTGGGCGAATCCTCCGCGGCCTAAATGGGTACTCAACCTGAACCATTTTCACGATGGGATTTAAATATATATTTTTTATTGCTTTTATGGGTGGACGAGCTCACAGCCCACCAAGTGTTAAGTGGTTACTGGAGCCCATAGACATTCACAACGTAAACGCGCCACCCACCTTGAGATATGAGTTCTAAGGTCTCAAGTATAGTTACAACGGCTGCGCCACCCTTCAAACCGAAACGCATTACTGCTTCACGGCAAAAATAGGCAGGGTGGTGGTACCCACCCGCGCGGACTCTCAAGAGGTCTTACCACCAGTAACTTCACGTCTTAAGTTACTTGACGGAATTCACGCTGCGCTGTATATGTTTATGGAATTTATAATTATTCGTCATCTGGTGATCTATAATTACCCGTCACTGAGGTGAATGGAACATAAACTCGTCTGACAGCCTGCAGAGACGAATGTAAGGGTAATGTGGCAGAACAGGCTATCCTATCCTTTCAATTTGAGGGTAGTTCTGTATTGCAACTTTTTTTTTATTGCCGTATAGGCAGACGAGCATACGGCCCACCTGATGGTGAGTGCTTACCGTCGCTCATTGACGTCAGCAATGCCAGGGGTAGAGCCAAGCCGCTGCCTACCGTTTAAACTTTGAGAGGGTGAACCATAGTGGGCCACAATTACGCTCAATTTTGTCAAGAGTCATTTACATAGCGGAAATGAGCAACTAGAATCTGGCAATGTAGATGTCCATAAAATTCCAGACTCCGACACTATAAGAACATACCTCCAATATATTTGACACCACACCATATCATAACCAAAGAGATGACGTGATGGTACACGTGAAGGAACGAGGCCTGTTGATTTTTTTTTCTCAACAGAAATATTGCGGTCTCCAACAGCTCTGTCATCTTGATGGTCAATGTCCACCACATGAAAGTGAGCATCCTCATTGGTTCCGGTTTCGTGGTATAATCTGGTAGAACGCATCCGAAATGGTATGTGGTTGTCCAACCTGACGTTGCTATCTGAAATTTAAATAAATAATAAGTTAAAAAAACTGCTGCTTTTTAAGATATTGATATTGAAATAATAATTCTTCTACTCATATCTGTCAGAAAAATATTTATAACTAATAACACCATGCACCCCACGCTTTTTTTTACAATAAAATATATATTTATTTACATTATTTTCAAATTATATATTAAAATTTATTTTCTATTTTTTAGTTGAATTTTATATAAAGCGTGTTTTTTAGTTTTTTAAAAGTTTTAAACTATTCATTATTTTTCATTTTTTAGTTGAATCTGGCTAGGGGAGGCTGTGATGTAGGTATCACCTTCCATTCTGTTTCTACTGGGTCTAAAATCGCTATGATCATTCGGAGAACGACATTAGTTTGAATCTTCCTTTTGAGAATTTGATCGTATAAGGAAACCATTCGTCCAAGACCGACTAAAAACTGCATCCATTTGCTAAGTTTCTTTATTTATTTATTGCTTAAATGGTTGGACGAGCTCACAACCCACCTGGTGTTAAGTGGTTACTGGAACCCATGGACATCTACAACGTAAATGCGCAATCCACCTTGAGATATAAGTTCTAGGATCTCAGTATAGTTACAACGGCTGCCTCATCCTTCAAACCGAAACGCATTACTGCTTCACGGCAGAAATCGGCAGGGCGGTGGTACCTACCCGCGCGGACTCACAAGAGTTCCTACCAGCAGTGCTAAAGTTAAGCATAAATATTTGAAGCTTTATAGTGGTCCGTATTTTGAAGACTCGCAATGTACAGCAAATATCTACCCTAAGTTATATTACAAGTATACGTCAGTGTTTTTTGATTGTGCTACGTTGCATTCTATGTAACAACCATTAGTAAAATAATATTCGATCACTTTTATAGTTTTTTCTTTTTTATTGCTTAGATGGGTGGACGAGCTCACAGCCCACCTGATATTAAGTGGTTACTGGAGCCCATACGCATCTACAACGTAAATGCGCCACCCAGCTTGAGATATAAGTTCTAAGGTCTCAGTATAGTTACAACGGCTGCCCTGCCCTTCAAACCGAAACGCATTACTGCTTCACGGCAGAAATAGGCGGGGCGGTGGTACCTACCCGTGCGGACTCACAAGAGGTCCTACCACCAGTAAAATAAAATAATATTAGATCGCTTTTATAGTGTTCTCATATTCATTTTTAATCGTTAATATACACGATTTCTTATACTAATTCGTGGAGGTACGGAAACAATATTCGCTTCATTAATTATAGTAAGCTATTTTTTCTTAAATCCCTACATAGTATAAAACAAAGTCGTTTTCTCTGTCCCTATATCCCTGTATGCTTAAATCTTTAAAACTACGCAACGGATTTTGATGCGTTTTTTTTTTTAATAGATAGAGTGATTGAATAGGAAGGTTTATATGTGTAATAACATCCATTAAATAGTCGAGAAATCAATAACAAATTACAGTTTCCGAAGCGAAGCGAGGGCGGGTCGCTAGTTATAATAATAATATTTGCTCCGCTATGTCTCTGTTGTGAATTATTGTCATTCATAATCTCGTGTATCAAGATAAAAAGATATGTAATCTGTAACTGCTCAACGCCAAAATGATCCTTCGATCTCAATTACTCATCTGAGTCGATCAAAACACATAAAAGCCGTGATTTTGATTTAAATTTAACGCGCGTGATAACTTCACCGGATGTGGTAGTGAATACGCGTGAAGCGTTTCATGCGATTCACTAACGACCCGCGTTGCGATTAGACACACCTAACATTAAAACTCATATTAGAGATACATGTAGGATACTAACTACTACCTTGAACAGCTATGAGAACCAATGTCTCCATCCTCGAAGAGCTGAAGGTCACCAAGCGCCTGCTGACTACTTGCCAGGAAAGGATCCGGAGTTTATTTGGGCAAATAATGCGATCCCCGTTGCACAGCCTGGAGAAACTCATCATTCTCGGACAAATGGAGGGGAAGCGCGCTAGAGGAAGAGCGCCAGCTAGATGGGTGGACCCACTCAAGGAGGTGACTGGAGGCCAGATACAGGGAGCGGTACATATGATGCAGAACCGGACCGAGTGGAGAAGATTGACATACAGTCACGATCCTCAGCATTGAGGGAACGACCAGAAAGAAGTAGGATACTAAACAATTTCTTTGGTGTTACATTTTATAAAGGGAATTTTTTTTTACAGGACGATTGTAATAAAAGCCGTTTTTAAATAAAAAAGTAGTAATCGTGACTTCCAACAGGATCAGTTATATTTCGTGCTTAAAAAATACATCGTTCAAGATATTGATAAACAAGTCGCAATGAACTGAATGTAAACACAAACAAAATATCAAATAATGCAAAGTCAAGGTCTGCTGGCTGTCTTTACTCTACAATACGGATTGAAATAGTAAGAATTTGACAAAACGATAAGAACTGACTTAGGCTTAGTTAAACTCATATTAGAGATACATGTAAGATACTAAACAATTTCTTTGGTGTTACATTTTATAAAGGGAATTTTTATACAGGACTTTAATACAGGACGACTGTAATAAAAGCCGTTTTTAAATATAAAGGTAATACTCGTGACTCCCAACAGAATAAGTTATATTTCGTGCATAAAAAAATACATCGTTCAAGATATTGATAAACAAGTCGCAATTAACTGAATGTCACACAAACAAAATATCAAATAATACAAGGATCGATGACTGACTTGGGCTTAGTTTGAACATTACTTTTTTCAAACTTTACAAACACAACTTTACAAACTTTTTGTTTGCAGTTGTGTCATAACTACATTTTCGGTTCGGTTCAGTCGCCAGTATTACCTGCACTGTATAAAATAAGTGATCAATAAAGTTATTATTGATAATATCTTTATTGGCATTATATTCAGCAGAAGACAGTGATATTGTAAGTTTTCTATTTGCACAAATTCAATTAACGATAATCACTCACCCCCCAAGCAACGACCAAGTTGAAAACAATCATAGTCACGTTGTAGCTTTTTATAACGCCTTTCAAATTGTAAGGTCTCTTGTTCCTCATGTAGATGGGCAGAATAAACTTGATGAGCAGCAGATAAGTAGTTAGGATCGCCACGATTGGCCATGGTGACGTCATGAACAGCCAATCTTTGACCCTCTGATCTGGGAACAAAAGCAATAAGCATTCAAACATTTCTGTACTAACAAAAGTACACAGTATTGGGTAACTTGGTCCTTGACTAATTACTAAGCTGATTTGCCAACCCAAGAATGTATAAGAGGACAATCTCATAATAACAATAATAATCATAATAACTGGGAAATAATTACGCACAGTCATCTGGCCCAAATTTAGGATTCCCTGTGTTATGGGTACGAGAGATTGATAAACATACTTATATAAGTTTAAATATATACATAGATATAGATAATTAACACCCAGAAAAAGAGTAAACAAACCTGAGCATCACTATTGTTTGCCCAATGTGGTAATCGAACTCACAACCCTCGGGCCAAAAGACAGGAGTGCTGCTAACAATTGCACTACCAAGTCAGTCTTAAAACCACAAGTAGATTTCAGTTTGATTGAAACAATACATGTTGTCATTGTTCTATTGACCAGAACTGGAGACATATTTTGACAGTATAGATTAGCAGAACAACATTATCTAACTAGTGATATTTAACCCCATAGTTACAATACAAATCCAAAAAACAAAGAAATCAGCTTATAAGATATATTATCCATATATGTATAACCTAACTAGCGGACCCGGCGAACTTTGTTCCGCCACACAGTTTGTTTTAAACAAACTTCAAAATTCTACTATAATTAACCATAGAATAGGTATATTACGTTTAGCTGTCAGTTGCGTTTCGTTATACCACGTTTTATGTCACGTCCCACGGGAACGTGTTAAAAAATGTCCTATGTCCTTCTCCTGGTTCTAAGCTACCTCCTCACCAATTTTCAGCCAAATCAGTTCAGCCATTCTTGAGTTATAAATAGTGTAACTAACACGACTTTCTTTTATATATATAGATATTGCATTGATGAACTAATGAAGCAAGGCCTTAAGATTAGAACGGTTTTAATCATGATCTCTTTCACTATTTAAGTTAAAATATTTACGTAACACTCGTGACCTAACATGAGGCGCAATAAAAATGATGTAAATCAAATAAAGGGCTTTCAATTTTAATATCCAATCGCCTAAATAAAAAGGTTTGAAGGCCTTCGCGTTGAATTGCATTCGTGAAGACCACGCAGATGACCAATACATTCGAAACGACCTAGATTTAGCAATTTGAATTGCATCGTAACGTATCCGCCAAGCGCTAAACGACTCGAAAGGAGCGGGCTCCGTATAAACTGGCTCTAGTTTTATGGACGTCCGCTGATGTTGAAGGGATATATTTTGTCAGTAGAATGATCTGCTTTATTTAACCTTGTGCTTACTATAGTAGAAGATAAAAGAAAAATACCAAAATTAGTATTTTGTAGCTATATTATATTAAGTATTTATAACATAAGGAAGGGAAGATAAGAAAGGATGGAGGAGGCTTTTACCGAAATAGAGGGCCAAATCTCATAAGTAATACTAATATTAATAATTAATTAAGTATAAGTAACCTTTCTTAAATTTAGCTATAACTTACTAAGAAACATTGTAATATATATCGGAAATGAGATTTGGATTAAATGTCTTTATTGTTTATTAACATAAGGAAGAAGATAGTATTTTGATATTAGATATTGAACAGTTTTTGCAGTTGCGGAAATTCGAATATTTTTGTGATTAGCCGGCTTTATTTTATTGATAATGTGCGCTCTTGTCCCCCAACGGTGTCCTATTTAGATTTCGTTCTTTCTACTAATCCGGACTGTTGCATTACAATCTCTATAATATACAACTATGCCTTTTGATTTATCATCATCTTCTTTTGGCCTTTCCCTGTTCGACTAATTTAACCAATTTCTCATTTTCACTTGTTTAATCAAACATCCCGCCAATTTCAGATTTCTTCTCATATATCAGTATAATAATATTATTAAGTCAAATTTGTTTTCCTACAATATCTTTCAGGCTTACCCTATATTTTCTTTTAATGTTAATAATTATTCTTCTGTTTGTACTGTAGATATAATGATTAAAAGTACTTTCACGGTTTAAGCTAGTGTTTTTATTGTCATTATCAGTCGTCTGTGATATTAGAAATGTCGCAAATGAATATTGATAATAAAAAATCGAAATTAAGTCGTAAAAGTAGTTTTGATTATGTCTAAAACTCTCAAAACCTAAAAAAAAAAAAAACTATAACTGTAATATTTTTACATGAATCAAACCTTTTAAACTTCACCGGTATTGTGACTATATCTTTTGTAAGATCTTTAAATATGGTTATCGTTCTATCCATTTGCATTTAGTCAATTCTATACTGGTAGGTATATATTTTTGACGTATCTTGCAAAACTGCATTATTTATTCTCCTAAATATTTAATATTAACGTTCTTTTTAATCAACTCGTTCACTAACTTTTGATAATCAATTTCAACTAAAAGTTTTTTTTACACAAATTTAAAAAAGGCGGTATTAGTAAAAATAATTATTAAAAGTTAAACCGCAACATGGTAACCGTACCCTAAAATCGATTTAGCATCAATTTGCACAGCTCTTGATCGCTCCCATTATACGTGCCGACATAAATTAATCTACATATTTCATTCGAGTTTTATCGCCGAGTCGGAACGTTAAAAATACAAAAGACCATTTAATTGTATTAGAGTATGTTTTGTAACCAGTGAAAGGTCCCGACGCTTCTGCGGGTCACCAGCGGGAGACAGGTCGGTAGATTTACTTGACGCCCCGATATAATCTGCGCTAGCCCATTTGTGAATGCTGCGCTAAAAGGCTTTGCCGTTACGCAAGATGGTACTGACTCACCGTTTGCATTTGCAAATTCCAAATGAATTTAAGTTGCCCAGTTTATTTATTCGGTTTCTTTTTTATAGTTAAATAGGTGGTTAGGGAACTTGTCTCTATATTATTAAAATTATGTTAATTTGTTTACCGAAAGCTATAAATATCTCAATGTAAATAAGGCCATTCACTTTAATACATGTGGACGAAGTCTGACGTGACTACTTTGTGGCTTATTCGTCAAAAACGTATCGGGAATGACTGGTTTGTTTATGGTTCCAAATTTTTTTTTTTGTTATTGTTAGATCGGTACAACTTTTTCCATTTTGGCGCGGAGCTTAATTTGCATCTACTATTTAAATTAAATACAGCTCAGTTTTTAGTTATATCATATCTACTTAGTATTGCGAATTTCATAATAGACAAAAACATTCGAACAAAAAGTTTGTCATAAAATTTGCATCCCCAATGACATTATGCAGAAGGCTTACGATGGATCGACTTTAAAACTTAGACTTATGACTCTATGAGTGTTATGACTCTATGAGTGTTCAAAAGCAGTCGAGATGTGATGGAAGAATCTCCTCGCTCTAGTATACCATCAACCTCTGCAGCTGAAGTTCTTCACTTTATCGCAAAAGTGAACGAAATAAACCATGCCAAAGTCGATCAAAAGTCTTGTTGGCTGTTTTCTTTGACTGTCGCAATATTCTCTTTTCTTGCCGGAAGGTCAAATGGTAATTATAAATAAATAAACAGTGTATTTGAGCTTTATACATCGTTTGAGAAAGAAAATTCGAAGAATAAGGCCAGATTTGGGGAAAGAAAATTTTTGGATTTTGCATCACGTTAATGCACCTTCGCAAAATCATTATGAACGATTTTTTTTACCAAAAAGGTAACAATCACCATCGAGCAACCACCTTATTCAACAGATATGGCTCCAGCTGACTTCTTTCTTTTTCCTAAACCGGTTTTCATTCGGTAGAAGACATAAAGGAGAATTCGCGACGAGAACTGAACTCAAGTCCTGAAAAAGCGTTTAAAAATGTTTTGTTGATTGGATCATTCGTTGGCATAAATGTATCGTTTCTGAAGCAGCATACTTGGAAGATGATTAAATAAATTTGTCTGAATAACTACATTTTGTGTATTACTGATTTTTTCCTGGTACCCTCTTGATAGACAGAGAGAGTATGTAGGAAAAATAGGTTAACCAACACTTGTGAGTTTGTAATACGCTCCACCGCTATTTTTTTTATTGCCCTTGTAGGCAGACGAGCATACGGCCCACCCGATGGTGAGTGGTTACAGTCGCTTATGATCGTCAGCAATGTCAGAAGCAGAGCCAAGCCGCTGCCTACCGTTCAGTACTATCTGCAGGCCTCCTTTGATTAAGGTTTATATCCGTATATATATTTATAATATAATTTTGCTTTCAAAATTTCATTATTTCTGACGTTTCGAATACATATCTTATATATACATTTCGTGGTCACAAATGACGGATAGCAATGGAATTTTGCGAAATAATGTACCGCCAGATTACTGCTTCAATTTAGTAAAGACTGTAGAATTGTGGAAAACAAGGAAAATAACGCTTCGGTAAATTGCTAATAACTTGACTTAATGCCGAAGGCGTTTGAATCCCGTAATAAAACCGCAAAATGTCAGACGTGGTAGCTGAAAGCTACGTAAAAATAATCGTAAGAAGCTCACTTGACATTTTGGCGATGAGGCGTCGGCCGCACGGGAAATAAATAACGCTCAGAGCTGTTCTAGAAATTCATTCGCGTTGTTTAAGAGAACACTTGAATAGTCTTATTAGGAGATTCGACATGAACATGATTTATACATTTTTTTAAATAGGCAGTTGAAGAGGTTCACCTGGTCGTGAATAGTTATTGGAGCCAATAGAAATGAATGCAACCTTAAGGCAGTCAACATCACCCAGGCGCATGTAGTCTATCTGTGCTAGTCCGAAGTTTTTCTATAACTCTCTAAAGCAAGCCTTAAAAGAGCATGAAATAAGTTGACATATAGTAAATAGCTTTTTTTATTGCTTAGATGGGTGGACGAGCTCACAGCCCAAGGTGTTAAGTGGTTACTGGAGTCCATAGACATCTACAATGTAAATGCGCCACCCACCTTGAGATGTAAGCTCTAAGTATAGTTACAACGGCTACACCACCCTTCAAACCGAATCGTATTACTGCTTCACGGCAGAAATAAGCGGGGTG